TGCCCGCCAGGATGCTGGGGTCGACACCGATCGAATGCAGGCGCAGGGATGGCGGCCGCTCTCTCGCTCTCCCTTTGCCGTTGTTGCTGCTGCTGCTCGCCGTCGTGCGACTGCTCGTCGATGCCGTATCCTCGCTGTAGCTCATGGTGCAGGTAGAAAGAACGGCGAACGCTGTGGCTGGTCGCTGAGCTCGAGCAGCATATATGCGCGCGAGGCCACAGATGAGCCCCTCTCAAAGGCCACGGCCCACACACACATGACGCTGTGGCCTGCTGCGATGGGCGTGGCAGGAAGGCAAGATGTGGGCGAGAGCGACAACGTCGGCATCAACAGGGACCCACACACGCGAACCAAACAGAGTCCAAACACACATGCCATTTGATTTGGTATGACAGCAAAGGGGGGGTAACAAAGCAATTACATGGGGCTGTTTTACATGAATGCACGGTATGCATGAATTGCCGGGTAGATTGATCTTTCATGTCCGCTATAGAGATTGAATGAAAGGGAAGAAAACTATGAAAGAAAAGATAAGAAAGAAAAGTAAATCCAAAAAAATGCAACGGCGCCTTGGAGCCCGCCAGAGACGCACGCACCCGCCCTCGCATCACCCCACAACAGCCGAGTCGACTTGAAGTGGTCGTGGGGTAATCCGACGCGCAGGAAGGCGGTAGACGCTCCGTGGGGGCGGAGGAGGCGGAGGTCGCAGCGCGACGATGTCGATGTGCTGCGAAAATTGCGTCGCGCTGCCCTTCAGCTGTCCGTTCGTGGGGGAGAGTCGCTCGCTGGCGAGCCATCCTCTTCTGTTCTCTGGTGACTTGAACTTGGGCGTGATGGCCTGAGGGGTTGTGGGTGTTGTAACAGTAAGCGCAGTTTTGCGAGGGCTCAAGCGAACATTACTATACCCATCGCGCTTATTCTTCTTCCACCCCCACACCTGGGATATCCATACACCCATAGGCACCTCCTTTTTCATGTTTTCAACCAGGAACGGATGCTCGAGCATCTCTTTCGGCGTTGGCCTATCGACAGGCGACACCGTCAACCTGTAAAAAATCGAACCGTCAAGGTTCCGCGACAAGAAAACAAATTTCAGGTTTCAACGGCGCACGTCTTTTTGATGAAGCTTTTTAAATCATCAGTCCATTTCACGACTTCATCATCCTCCAAGATAGGTGGCTATAATAGTGTTTGATCAGCGAACGAACCATCACACCAAGCCCCATACTCACGTCACATTGAGTTATGTAGAAAATCAGATCGATTGGGCCGATGTCGTTAGGGAAAGGGAACTTCTGGGTAGTAAACTCCAGGAGGGAGATTCCAGCAGACCAAACGTCTGATCGAATCGTATATTGTTGACCGCTTATTCGTTCAGGCTATCCAGAATTTAGGTTGGAACGTTGTCAGAGTCGAGACACTTACTGCCATGTAGAAGCTGGTTCCTGTGAAGGTCCCAGCCAGCGAATCAACAAGATCGCCGGAAACACCAAAGTCGCAGAGTTTGACGACTCCTTCTCGGGTAAGAAGGATATTCGACGGTTTAATATCTCGATGGACAATCTTGCGGCTGTGTAGATACGCAAGTCCCTCGAAGATCTGCAAGGCAACAACAAAAACAAAACACAAGTGAAAAAGTCTGTTCGTAGCAAAGAAAATTTTCATACGTACCCCCTCTGCAATCCTTCCAATCACCTTCTCACTTGCATATTTCCCCGACGTTTTGATCTTTCTTTCAATCGCCTCCAGACTTTTCCCCTCGCACACCTCCATAAGCACCTTGACCTCGCTCGATGAAGGTGATATATATGCACCGTAGAACCGGCAAATATTTTTGTGAACCGTCGTCGACATGAAGGAGAGTTCGCGGACGAGCTGCTTTGGAGGCGTCTCTCGAGTGGTGATGGTTTTCCGTGCCATAACGACGTTATTCCTCTTGTCGCGGACCATGTGAACGGCGCCTCCCGCCCCCTCGCCCAATCGTTCCAAATCCTCCAGAAAGTCATCCGACCACTTTTCCTCTCCGTAGACAGGCGCGCGGACCTCCTCCTTGCTGACTTCGCTTATCTGTGTGATCGCGGTGCGGATCGTGGAGACGTCGTCGAGGGGAGCGCCGCCAGGCACCATGGTCGCAGAGCCAGACGAGGCGGGGGGCCGGATGGTGGGCTGATCGCCGCCCTCGGTGACGGGGTTGGTCATGACGCGCGGGCCGCCTAAGAAGTACTCGCCGTAGGGCGGGGAGTCGCTGTCATTCGAGGCGCGGTTGTTGGCCGTGGGCCTGCTGACGGCCAACGCTGGAGAAATGTTGAGCCGGGGCGTGGTCGGACGCGCGCGCGACCTGCCCACCTGGACTGGGTAGAGGCCGCCGTGCATGTTGGAGGGCGAGGGCGAAGGGTCTGAGGCGAGTCCGTTCAAAGGAGGCGAGAGGGCGGGTTGCTGCTGCTGCTGCTGCTGCTGCCTCGCGCGCAGGTTCAAAGGCTCTGTGGACGGGAGAGCGAATGCGGGGGGCGCTGGAGACGGGGAGCGCTGTACGTCGCGAGGCCCGCTCGGGCGTGTTAGATGGGTCATGGGGGGATGGTGGTGGTTGAGGAGAAAGAGGAGGAAGGGAGGCAGTCGCCACAGACGCGGGACGGAGGGTGGTCGTAACCGAGGTGTGCCGGTCTCCTACTTATAAACGTTGCGACAGCATGCCCTTTCCAGTAATACCTACTGTATATTATTCTTCTCGCTGCTCTCGCGTGCATCGATGAATCCGTCTATTAATTAATTACACTGAGAGCTGAGTGACTCGTTCTATTATATACGCAAAGGCAGCCTCTCCTCGTATCTGCGTAATCGACAAAGACAGTATTAGTGAGAACGACGTGGTTACCCGTGTTATCAAGGTTTCTGCGGCTAAGGTCAGCGAGGATCCTGGAGGGGGCCGTTTCAGCTCGCCGGGACGAGCACTAGTAGTATTTGTCCCAGCTTTCTCTCGCAGAATTCGGCCTTTGCGGAGTCCCTTTTCACTTCTGAGCTATATAGCCAAGGCACCGGGCTCGTAAGCTCGCGACTGCATACGCTCTGAACGCATATGGGCGCCCAAACCTTTTATTCGAGAGTCAGTAGCACGTTTATTCCTGTCTCTGCTTCGCTGTCCCACGAGGACCAATAAGAGGACGATCAGTAGATTGAACGAGTGTAAATAGTCATATGCGTACTCGGTTTTCGAAGCAGCGCCGCGTAAGGGACAACCAGAACGGCATTTCCTTGTGAACGGTAACACGGAGCGCTATCCTCCTTTCGCCCGCAGTACGGTCGTTTCTGCATTCCTCTTCCGACCCTCCCTTTCCCGCAGCAGTAACCCTCGCTCATTCCTCTTCCACCTCGGAGTGTCCTCAGATCCGTTACGGTGGACTCCTTCTGTAATACAGTCATCCACGCCGACGACAAACGGGGGGAAATAGTTGTTCACGTCGCGGTCGTTCTTTTAATACTTCTCTTTTTTTTCTTCAATGGACACGCGTCGGAACAAATTGACTTGGGGGTTCGCAAGGAACGACTCACACGTCTCGACGAAACAGATCGAGCCTTTGGGCATCTGCGTACACGGACCTATTTGTAGGCCATCGCTGATCAACTGCAGACATTCAATGGAGAGTCAGCTGGATAGATTACTCACTCTCCTTGGCGCGCAGAACATTCGTTACACTGAAGACATGTCAATAAAACAAATTTCAATGACACATACGGGGTAGATCCCGTATCGACGTAATGGTACCCACCACCGTAAACCCGGCGGGCCCCTCGTCGACTGTGACTGCTTGATTAGACGACCTGAGTGGCGTCGAAATCTTGGAGTGCAGACGCACGACTGTCAAGGGCCTGCTACGTGAGCGATCAACGTAACCCCAGTAATCACGAAGAGAACGTACGCAGTTCGCGACTGACAGTGTTCGCGTTCGAAATAATCAGATTTGGCGGGGGGTCCTCCACGTCCTGGACGGAAAGAAGGCTGCTTCGAGCTGCGAACATCAAGACAGGAACCCGAAATATAAGGGATAACCTGCTATCAGTGGCTGTTCGTCTGAACTGTAAAAGCTGCCGACGGTTGCCGTATGTGATGGGTGGCATTCTCGAGGTGTGAGCTCAAGAAAAGAGGAAGGATGGGGGTGGATTGCCTAAATACAGAGAAACAGGCCCCGGGCCCGGCCACTCAAGCAGAGACCTCCGTCGATGTGCCATGGCCAGCACCACGACGCCTTCGACTTCTCCGAACCGAGCGTGTTCGAGTGCCCAGCCAGCCTGCGACCGCAATGGCGGGGACTGCCTTCTATGGTGCTGATTTGCCGTGGGGAACGAAGCGGAGAGACAGGGAAGCACCTGCAGAAGACGCGGAGACGACCACCGATTCGCAGCATGATGAACAGAAACCCAGCGGGGCTGATCCAAGTAACGGTGAAGACGGATTCCGACTATCGCTGGCGTCCGAGCGGTCCGTACGAGGTTGATCGTGATATAGATGTCTCTTCCATCTCTCCAGAGGAAGGCATACCGCAAAACATTCGATCTGTGTGTGAATGAAGAATTGTCGGGTAAAGCATCAGCTCATTGACAGGAACCACGTCTTCCACGATCACCGTGTAGCCCAAATCCTCCTTATAGCCTTCCTTCCTTAATTGCCATTGTATTGATTCCTCTTGAGGTTTTCTTCCTTCGATAGTCTACCTGAAACGATTCACCACCGTATGGCGATCGTAGCACCTGGTTCGCATTGCGGGCTGATAGAAGCGGAAGCGGTCGAACAGCTCAGAAGGATGTTCGGAAATTTTCAAGGGGGGTAATGTTTCTGTAAGTCACGGTCTGTTTTGCGAAGATTTGCTATGGCGTCGATGTCCAAGATCGAAGTTGAAATTTGAAGAGCCACAGATAGACGCCCAAAATAGTAGTCTGATTACCGCTTCTGGATACTTTGTAAGTGCTACGATACTTGTACGTTCTACAGCCATTCATCAATATTCGATTGCGTAGCCAAGTGGTTACGGCGCTGGTTTTAGGTCTTGTGACGCATTCACCAGTGGGAAACCTCGCGAGTTCGAATCTCGTCGCAATCATTTGTCTTTTTCCTCTTCCTCATGATCTAATCTCGACCTTCGAGTGTGCACGACTTTTTCTTGTTTTTTTTTCCCTTCAGTTCGCTCACATCCAGCTCAAGGATTTTTCTTGAATACAAGTTCTGGTACGATATACAAACTACACCCACGAGCGGAGAGATTATCTTCAATAATCTTGGCCAACTCCACAGGGCTTTACTTTGGAAAAGATGTCACCGATTCCAGTTATCAGTCAGTTTCCAAATCTTTGTATGTACCTCAGGCTTAGGAGTATACTTCTCGGCATAGTATAGTCGACACCGATCCCGGTGTTGATGATATAGTTGCTATGTGAGTATCAAACTGTTTTTCAAGGCAATCCTTCCTCCTTGAACGTGCTCGATGATCGCATTCAACCATGATACTATGCTATCTACAGTCTCTACGCGCTCGCATCCCCGGAGATCGAAATTATTGCCTTTATCGTGTCCTTCGGAAACACCGATGTCGAATCGTCTTAGTAAGTAGATCTTTTGGATTTAATCTTTAGATGCTATAGTAATCTTACAACCCATTGGTTTATTTTTTCAGTAAGAACATCCTCAAACTCTTCGACGTCCTCTCTCGACACTTCGAGCAGTTCCCTGACCACCGCGCCAGATTTCCAGGCTTCTCCAGCCGACCCTACATCGCTCGAGGTCCGAGCGGGCCCCTCGAAGGTGCTTTGCACAGCGCGCAATATTTTCACGGGCTCGACGGGCTCGGAAATATTCATGAGCGGCATCGGGATACTATCACGACGGGGAGGGGCGCAGAATTTCTAAGAGCGTCGGGCAAGGCTGGACATGAGCTTGCGCTGGAGCTTGTTAGGTCATACCCTCCGAGATCGATCACGTACATTGCGTTGGGTCCACTCACGAATTTGGCGTTAATGGTGAGGGAGGACCCGGCTGCGTGTCGCGACCACCTCGACAGAGTCGTGTGTATGGGGGGCGCGCTGGACGTCCCCGGAAATACGAGCCCCGTAGCTGAGTGTACGCCTGTTTAGATAATTTCATGAAGGACGGATCGTTAGCTAACGAAAGGACTAACAGTCAATTTCTTCGCCGACCCATTCGCGGTGAAGGAGCTCCTCATGGACGGCGGCTTCCCCCTCGAGCGGTTCGTGCTCCTCCCCTTGGACGTCACCACACCGCACGAGCTACGCTTCCCCCTCTATGCTTCACGCGTCGATAACACGTTCAAGGACACCTCCGCGCCCTCGCAGGCGTCGGCGGGGAAGCCCCCTCTGGTGCACTTCACCAGCGCCTTCCTCGAGCGCGCGAGGGAGGTCATGGTCGCGTTCGGGAAGGACGCGATGGAGCTGCACGACGTCTGCGCTGTCTGGTACGCCGTCGCCAACCCCCCGCTGGGCGAGCGCGGTCTGCTCGATCCCGGGCACGCTGAGGGATGGAAAGCACACCCGCGGTTATTCGACATCGAAAGGTGAGCTGCGCAAAATTGCCTCTTGAGACGACCAGATTCGGCTTAGGAGACTGAATTCAATCCAACTTTTCCTCGAATCTCTCACTTACCTCCTGCTATTCCCTCTCAGGACTGGCGAGCTCACTAGAGGAATGCTCGTCGTAGACAGACGTGATGAATCGACGACCCATGGTCCAGGCGAGAACCGATCCGAAGTCCAGGCCGCGCTGGAGAAAACTTTCAGCGACGCTACGGCACCAGCACTCGTCATGAAGGAAAACTCGCAGGAGTTGACATCGGCCGTACCCAAGGGCGTACACACAGTTTTCCGCACGCCAGGCACCGATGCGCTGCTCAAGTCCATGCTGGCACGCGTCTGGGGTGTCGAGTTGTGATCCTATACACTTGCAGGTTGCATAGAGTTGAACAACTTGATTTCGGTCGAATCCAAGAGGGAAAGCACCCATTAGAATGACATCCGGTCCTACAGCTATACAATTTGAAACAAGGAAAGCACCAGAGATTTGAAATACTGAAACCATATAGTCAATGTGCGAGGCATTCTTCTAAAAACCCAATAACAATACTTGTCTTCGGATCGGGATCTGCTTCAGACCGGAGAATCTCCACCATGCGATGGGCGATCGAATAAGCGCATTCGTCTGCCCTGCCAAATCCTGAAAGGCACCCGCTCCGGTACTCGGTCTCTGAGGTGCCCAGCATGGCTGGGATGACTTGAGGCTCACCATGACCTGACCATCGCAGCAAGATAGGCAAGGCAATGGGCACGGGTAAACCCTCTGTAAGGATGTCCAAGTCCAAGTCATCTCGAATCTCCGTGGTGTTCCCCAGTGCGCTCAGCAACGCGGTCAGAGCCGCAAGAGCCTCAAATGCTTCCTTCACGGCTTCCGAGGGGAGGTTGTCCTTGGAAGGCGCGGGCTTTGGAAGCGTTGAGAGTAAATTGTACAACGCATTTGCGTCCTCGGCCGCAGAAGGCGCCAACGCCGGAGGTGACGGGGGTCGAGATCCCGGTAGTTTCATGGTGAACCGGCTTGCTGGAGGTGTGTTTGGAGGCGTCGTTGACCCGCCAAAGCGTTTGATAAAGGTCATTGACATGGATGCCGCAGACGTGGCGGACGCAGAATTCGCCCGTGATCGTGGAGAGGATGGGCGATGGGACAACGCGACGACAGCGTTCCACATGATAGAAATCAGAAACGTCGCGAGTGACGCCTCGCTACTCTTTGTTGAACAGTAGCGCCCCAATGCGCGGGCATAGATGGGCATCAACGTCTGTAAAGTCGCGATGGACGGGTGGAGGTTGGCGGGAGCCTTTGTGCCATTTGCGACCTTTGTTCCAGTGGTAGTTGGGACTGCCGCAACATTTCCTTTCTCCAAGTCTTGAATCAAAGGGACGAGATCGGTCTTGATCCCGCTCATGAGCGGGTTGATCACTCGCTTCATCACAGATCCCAACCCCTCCTTGATGACCAACAATCCGTCTCCTTTGTGGTCATGGCTGGCGTCAAGCTTCAATTCGTCCAGGCAATCGAGCAACTCGCCCGCGAACGTTGCAATACCTAGTGCGTGCGCTTGAATGGCGTTCAGGTTCGGATTTTGCACAGATGGTGCGCTTGGATTCGAAAATGCTGGGTTGGAGAGCAAAGGAAGGAGCGCCGTCGACAAATTTGATAAGAGAACTGTAAGCGGCCGCTGAAGAAGTCTGAGAATTGCTCTTTGAAGGTGCGAGTTCCCTTGGCTGGTGTTCAACTCACTGCAAACCAACGATACCACGTCAGAATGTCTCAAAATTACACAGTTTGCAGCGAAAAGTGCTCACGCAGCGATAAGCTCTCCCAAAGTTCGTCCTCGTCCTACAGGAATAGGGCGCTTGCCACCCAGCGTATCCGGTGTTGCCACGGCCGACACCGGCTGAGAGAGTGCCTTTGAGGCGGCTTCGTTGAGTTTCAAACTGAGGGCGTCGAGATAGGAGCCATCGTGAGTCAGAGTAGCCTGCGTCGGTGTCGACACCGGTGCGGGCGAGGGCTTCCGGTTGAAGTTCGTCAGTGACGACAGCTTCGTGAGGGGCCTTGCGGATCGATCTATCGGAGGCGTCTCCGTGTCCGTCCTCGAGGGAGGGGCGGGGGAGGTTGGCCTGCTGATGGGGCGGAGGAAAGGGCTCTTGAGAGCGTGCATTGTGGATAATCTATAAGTGTAGAAAGCTTTTGTGGTGTGTAAGATAAAACCAAGAGAGAATGCGTTCGGGGGCGTATTTTCAAGGCGATGACCGTTCTATGGGGGGTATCCAAAGGCCAGTCAACCAAGCAAAAAGAGGCTGAAATTATCCCATGGGATGGCGATGAGTAAACTCTACTTCGACTGTTCGGCGAGGAGCGTCGGACGAAGGAATTTCAAGGAGGCCTGTCGGAGGCGACCTGGATGAATGCAAGAGGTCCGAAGTGAATCCTGTTAACCTGCTGTCGTATGCTGCGAGGAGAATATATGAGAAATGCATTGGGTGGCATCAGGATGACAACCGACGCACTTTGGTTCGAGAGCGAGCATAGATTGAAGGCGAAAAGAGCTTTGCGGGGGCAACGGACGTCGACGTCAAAGACGGTGGTGCAATTTTCGCGGCTCGTCAACGCTTTTGTACCGCAAAGGGCGTTCCCACGATTACAACCTTTTGCGGACCAATACCATCGAACGCAATTCTAATTTGACTCCTTTCGACTCTTTTCTAACTTTCCTCTCCACCAGTTGTTACTGCATCGACATAGGCGTCTGAGGCAGTCCCACCATCGCTCAGTGACTCGAATTCTACGATTTGTCCCGTCAAATTATACTGAATCTTTCTAGTGAACATTGCGACCTGAGACAGTATCGAGCTCTAATTGAATTCAGAGAGATGCATTCCGGTCCAAGTTCCGGTCGTCTTCGTGCGCATCAAGTATCTGTTGCTCGTGAACGCTCTCTACTCCGACAGCTCGCAAGATCTTCCCGACTCCTTCCTTCTTCACAGCCTCCAATTCCGTCTCGCTTTTCACGAGCAACATCCCCGCAAACCCGAGCGCGTTGACACTCAGCTTGTCGCCCGTCTCGTTCAACACATGGTCTTCGAGCTTCCTGGGGATGAGATGCATGTGTTCGAGCGTGAGGATCACGTTGTACGAAGGCGAACCCGCCGGATATGTCGGATCGTGGCGCACAGATGAGATCGTTAGGTCCAGGAGTGATATAAACGCCTCCTGTAAGGACTCCTCGAGATCCTCACGTCGGGTCGACGAGGACAAAGCGGGAAGGCGACGAACGTGGTTTGCATAGGGGAGTGCGGATAAGCTGAAAGGTTTCTCTGTTTCGGCGAGGGTACCAGTCAGGAGTTGCACCAGCCGAAACTTGTATGGACGTACTTTCATCTTCTAACCTGACTGTTTTCGCCAGTTTTTCCACAGGAGGTCCACCGCCATCCACGGGAATGAATTGCATATGTTTGTGAGGTTGCGACGCACCACTGTTTTCCCCGCCTGACGGAGCAAGCAAAAAACATCATCAGTACT